AGATCACTTTTTTATTCATAATCTAAATTTCTTAAATGTTCGACAATAAAACAGATTTCAACCGTGTTAGGGTCCATTTCTGCCTAGTGATCTCAATCGAAAAAACAGCGACGTATCTGTATAGTGAATTTTTATTATTGACGGTGCAAGAGAAACATATCAAGGGGTGGCACAGTTTGGCAACACTCGCCTCCTTATTTCATTGATGGAAAAACATTTAGTACAATTTCGCTTGCTTTCAACTGCATAATCACTTGATATTTTCAAACAGAAATCCTCACAAAAGACATGCATGTCCCACTTGTATTGGATTAATCTTCTTGCGTCACGCCAACAGATCTGCTCCCCCAAATACAAGCACAAAACTGGTCAAACAAAAGCAAAACAAACAATCCCTATAGAGTCTTTGAATTTCAACAAAACAAAATGACAGAGAATCCACTGGATGTCGAACACGTCCCAAAAGCTGTATACGGCCTCTATATCACGGCGCACTCCATTCAGTTTTGTTTTCATCTCCATGTAACCACGTTACATTTAATTTTGGCAAGACAGAAGCTTCATGTTGTCATTTATATATAGAGCCTCACTTGTCCTAAATCCTATATCAGTATTCGAGTTACAAAAAGGGACAAGGGAAAAAAGTCACCCAAGTTACTTGGTCAAGAATATGTCTCTTTTCGAACTCAATTAGAACACCACCAAATTTTACCTGCCATTTCTCAAAACTTAAAGGAATCTACATTTAAGATCCTATCTCTGATCATTCCTTGTAGTTCTACACCAGGCAGGATTTTAATCTCAAGGTTTATTGAATCTGCTCCTGTGCCATGCAATCGGAACATCTTTCTCTGGAAACGTGTATTTCTCTGCCATAGTGGGGGTTTAGACAGAGCAGCAGTGTTGGGTACAACAAAACGGCATCGTCGGATAGCCTCTGTAAACAGAGTCCTGACATACCCTGAGGAGAACAAACAATACAGTGATTTTTAAATATGGAAATTGTTAATTACAACACCTTTTCTTTGGAATTTTCAAAAAGTGTCCTTTGTTTGCCTACATGTATATGTATTTTCATGGGCTTTTTAAGCCCTTACTTAGGCACACTTTACGGGGGGGAAATGAAAAGCCGTATTTCCTGAAATCTGTAGTATATAGAGCAGAGTGCCCTCGGTGTACTCCAACGATGTGGTTACATAAAGAGGCCCACTTGGCCTCCCAGAGATCCTCCTCTGCATCAGTGGTGGAAGAGGCACACCAATAGACATGATTGTTTATGGACCTCTTCCATTCGGCCACACCCTCAAACTCTTTCCTCTTTGCTAACTTATCGACCGTCTTCTTGATCCCTTAATGAAAAATAAAAAATAAATGATACAAATTAAACTTCAGTGTGTTAAGGCCTACGTTTTGTTTGCCAAGTGAAATCACTTTTTGGCAAAAAGGAAAGTAACTTTTCCATTAAAAAATTATATCTAAGATAATGCAAAGATACTTTGGGCCTTTCAAATAATTTCTTGCCATAACTATTTTCCTATGTAACGATGCCGTTCATTATACATGTACATGCACACACCCACCCGGTAGCCACGTGTACGCACCCACCCCCCGTACACGCGCATATACTGTAAATGAAGAGTAACGTGTACAAACGATTACATGCACCATGCGATTATGAAACTAACTTGAATGCATGGTGAGTGAGAAACGATAAAACGTACTCGGAGTCGCTCGCGTTTTGCAAAAGCACCCTTCCTCTTCTCTTCCAGTACCGGCTCGCTTTTCTTGCTTGTTAGAAATATTGTGGGTACAGCATCGGAACGAAGCATTGCCTTGAACTTAATCCCAAACTGATGTTGTTGATCGTTGGCGTTTCGATCAAAACAAGAAGGCTCGAAGTGTGCGGAGCAGATCACCGAGTGCTTGGTTGGTCTGACCACTTGGCTCCGGTTAGCTTCACTTTCGCCGTCCAAATTTGTCGAAATTTTGGGTCAGATGAAAAACGATGCAGACTAAAACCATCTTTGGTAGTGTTGCTGCAAGGAGCAACAATACAGGTCGGTTGCATTCTGACAAAACTAAGTTATTCTCGTGAAGGAGTGCGGCAAAATTCTCAAGAAACTTTACAAGAAATGCGTGTGACGCTGCCGATCAAGCTGCCACGTATAACCGGGAAAGTATGCCGATCTCCGGAGTTTACGTCACACATTCTTATGTTAATGAGGAGATAGGCAGGGCGTGTTGGTCACCCTCAAACATGTTTTCATTTTTTTTATTGATATCAAGGCGGTGCAACCAAAGGTAAAATAAGCAAAAATTTGTTCAGGTAGAAACACTTTATCAATTGAAATAATAATAAATACATTAAAGAGACCCTTTAAAGCCGTGCATTTCCGACACAATCGAGCGCCGAGCGGAGGAGGAGACCGGGGAGGACCAGCGGCGGGCACGACGGGAAGGCCCCCCTGGCCTGGAGGTGTCCCGGACTCGGCGGTGGAGCGGGCGCAGCTGGAGGAGGGCGTGCCGGAACTGACGGCGGAGTGAACGAGCACTTCCCCGGTGGCCGAGGATTGGCTGCTGGGCCGCATGTCTGACGCAGCATCGCCAAACTGACTTGAAATCCACGGTTAATGGTGTACCCCGTACCGCCATGGTGCTGAGTCGCCACGTCGGTCCCAATGCCATCGTGCGATCAGCTGTTCGGCACGGATGAACTGGGGCCTCCAGCCCGAGGGCGGCATCTCGCAGCGGGCGGCGTCGATCCCGCCGCAGGTGCCAGACGGGGAGCGTTACGTGGGTGTGCGCTGAAGATTTTTTCCTCGGACTCCGTTGTCCGCGAAAGGGCGCATCTCCGGTGAGCATTTTGGACCTTAACCCCCACTCCCTGGTTTGCCTATTTATAGGGGGAGGGTAGTCTCGAGCTCAGCTCCAGCTGCCAGAAATCAGTACAGCCATATATTGTCCGTATAATAAGGCCATTCCTACACGGTGGAGCCCAAGGCTCAGGAGCGAGTCCCTCTAAGGTCTGGACAAGCCCCGCTCCACAGCGGCTCAACGAAAGTGGCGGCTCGCCGCCCCACCGTGCGCTCCGTCAACGGCGTTTCCGACGCGGCCAGTCGACCCCCCATGCCCTGGCCTTCCCCCGAGGTGTCCGGAAGGCCACTCCCGGGCCCCAGTTCGGCTGGACCCCAGCCCTGACGGGCTACCTGGTCGATCATTTAAAAGATTAAGCCATGCATGTCTAACTAAAAGCTTTACCAAGTGAAACTGCCGATGGCTCATTAAATCAGTTATGGTTCCCGGGCCGGCGTGGGGCCCGCCTCGTGGACATTCCTGGCTGTGCGGCCGCCTCGCTGCGGTCGCTTCGGCCGGAGCCCAACAGCCGGCTCAGAACTGGTACGAACCAGGGGAATCCGACTGTCTAATTAAAACAGCATCGCAACGTCCGCAGCCCGGGCGCTGACGCGATGTGATTTCTGCCTAGTGCTCTGAATGTCAAAGTGAAGAAATTCAGGGAAGCGCGGGTAAACGGCGGGAGTAACGATGACTCTCTTGAGGTAGCCAAATGCCTCTTCATCTAATTAGTGACGCGCACGAATGGATTAACGAGATTCCCACTGTCCCTATCTACTATCTAGCGAAACCACAGCCAAGAGAACGGGCTTGGCAGAATCAGCGGGGAAAGAAGACCCCGTTGAGCTTGACTCTAGTCTGACCTTGTGAAGAGACACGGGGGGTGTAGGATAGGTGAGAGGGCCCTGGCCCGACGGTGAAATACCACTACTCTCGTCGTTTCTTTACTTAGCCGGTGAGGCGGGGAGCGGGCCCCGCGCCGGCCCAGACGGAGGGAGCTCAGCCTCCTGGCTAGTCTGGGCGCCCCCTCCGGGATCGAGGCGAGAGCTGGCCGGCGCACCGGGCCGGCGGGCGGCATTCCAGCGGCCGCCCGCGCGCCGGGGAAGGAGAGGAAGTGGCGGGCCCCGGCCGGGCCGGAGAGGGCGAGGGACCGTCGGCGGGCCGGAGGGAGCGGAGGCCGGATGGCGAGCGAGAGCAGAGAGGCGCAAGACTCCGGCACCGCGGCCCGGCAGCCGCGGCGCGGCCGAGCAGTCCGGAGGGCCCCGGCCCCGAGGGGCTACCTGGTTGATCCTGCCAGTAGTCAGATTGTCTCAAAGATTAAGCCATGCATGTCTAAGTAAAAGCTTTACCAAGCGAAACTGCCGACGGCTCATTAAATCAGTTATGGTTCCTTGGAGCGCATCCCCCTACATGGATAACTGCGGTAATTCTAGAGCTAATACATGCCAGCAAGCACCGACCTTGCGGGAGGCGTGCTCTTATTAGGAACAAGACCAACCCGGGCCCGTCCCGGCTCCGTTGGTGAACTCTGGATAACCTGGCCGATTGCACAGTCCGGGCACCGGCGACGGATCCTTCGAATGTCTGCCATATTAACTTTCGATGGTATGTTATGCGCCTACTATGGTCGTAACGGGTAACGGGGAATCAGGGTTCGATTCCTGAGAGGGAGCTTGAGAAATGGCTACCACATCCAAGGAAGGCAGCAGGCATGCAAATTACCCACTCCGGAAACGGTGAGGTAGTGATCATAAACGATGCCGACTGGCGATCCGCCGGCGTTACTCCAATGACGCGGCGGGCAGTCTGCGGGAAACCAAAGTCCTTGGGTTCCGGGGGAGATATGGTTAAGCTGAAACTTAAAGGAATTGACGGAAGGACACCACCAGGAGTGGAGCCTGCGGCTTAATTTGACTCAACACGGGGAAACTCACTAGGCCCGGACACAGTGAGGATTGACAGATTCAGAGCTCTTTCTTGATTCTGTGGGTGGTGGTGCATGGCCGTGCTTAGCTGGTGGAGCGATTTGTCTGGGTAATTCCGATAACGAATGAGACTCTGGCTTGCTCAATAGTCACGCCGGCCGCCGCGCCGGACGCTGACTTCTTAGAGGGACAAGTGGCGTTCAGCCACGCGAGATTGAGCAATAACAGGTCTGTGATGTCCTTAGATGTTCGGCGCCGAGCGCACTCTACACTGAAGTTATCAGCAGGTAGCCGCCCTTGGCCGGAAGGTCTGGGCAATCCGTTGAACCTCATTCGCGCTTGGGATAGGGAGTTGCAATTGTCTCCCTTAAACGAGGAATTCCCAGTAAGCGCGAGTCATCAGCTCGCGTTGATTACGTCCCTGCCCTTTGTACGTGATCGTAATACACCTGCATTAAAATTTCACATGATTTAGTAGATTTCAGCAAGCAAAAAAAAAATTTGAAGTGAGGGTGAAAGGGAAACCAACACACACTTTTTTATTAAATGGATTGAAAAGTTCTTTGACCTCACAATCCATGCGTTCACTCGTCACAAACCATCCATACAGCGCAGGGCGCTGAGAGGGGCAAATAAATAGCGTATTTATTTGTCGAGAACTAATATTGGATGGAGTTTATTTGAAGATTTAAACACGGGTTGACACTTCCGGCCACTTCCGCACGACACGTGGACACTTAAACTATGGGGATTAAGGTACTAAGTAACCTAAAATCCTTTGAGCGTCCAAAGCTGTGAGGTATTTAATTTGCGTTCATAAAAGTACTGTTTTAATCTCCATTCTGAGTACTATAAAGGAAGAAATTTCGGATGACGGAAGTGTAAATGTAACTTTTAAGTCCGCTGTTATGCAGTACACACGCAGTCACTGTACGTATGGCAGATGGTACCGCAAACGATTCTCTATGACCGGCGTTTGACCCCAGGCCACATTGAATGACCTCGGTAACAGAGTCATGAATATTCTCGTAGTTCGTCCATGAAATTTGTTGTTAAGTAGACGATATTTCCAGTTATCTAGTGTACAGCCTGGGGGTTTCTTGTAAGAATAAGTAATGCTTAAAGTCTCTTTAAGAAACTTGCGTATTGAGAAGAAATTTCTGGAAGAATTGTTGGATATAAAATATGGGCTCTGGCAGGAGAGAGAGAGACACACACACAGCTAGAGAGTTTTAGGACGGCACGCTGGTGAGAAGTCTTTGACTAGTTGACTTCTGCACCATTTCAACCTGTGGTGGCGAGTCGTCTGTGGAGCGATCGGATATGTGTAAGTTCGTCCAGACCAAGGGAAGTGCAGAGCTGAATTTTGTTCCGGAAGAGACAATTCATGAACTGAATGGGAGCATCAAGTCCCGTATTTGCGACGGTCATCTCGAGCCCGGTCATTCTTATTGGACGTGGTCTCCGTCCCTGTTGCATCTTATTTTTTCCACCGTCAAGGGCTTAACTTTTTTTTGGCCATCTGTGACATCCAGTATTTTTCACTATCGTGCCTGCCAAGCTCTCGCCCGTAAGAACATCTAAGTATAACATTCTCATTTGTTCCTTATCTCAGTTTTCATATCGGATTTCTTTGTTGTATCGGAGAAAATTCAAGTGAGCTTTAGAATAATTAAATAGTTTGGAGTTTTTCGGATCGCAACACCGCTTGCTTTTGTTCGGCACTTGGAAAATGTGGGAAAGAATTAAAAACAGTCTACCTCTCATCTGAATGTGGAAATTCACACCACAAAATAAGATTTCTTTTGTTTCCTTTTGTGTTGGAAAACAAGCTTTGTTTGAAACGTTCCCTTTTGTTCCAAATAGCGATCTAAAAACCATTTCACTACATTTCACCCTGGAGATGCATTTGAAAACGGCGTGCTCAATAGCCTAGGACTCATGAAACTATTGAATATTCGCTGTGGCGGGATATCAATTTTACGCCGCCGCGCGACAATAGCTATATCTCACCGCAGTAATAACTCGAAATCTTTTTTGCAAGTGGCCTTTATACGCTTCCGTACGTAAACGATCCGACCACCGAACCGTGCGCAATCCTGTTTCCATTCATTGCGTCATTCCATGGGGCTATAAAAAAATTCATCGATATTAAAGACTAAATTCGAAAGGCTTTCTTTTTTTTATTTATGCAATCATCACGAGAAAAACAAACCATTAATTTGTTATGGAACGACATTGATTCTATTTGTTGGTTTTTCAATGATATAGCTTCACTGTTAATATTTGAAAATTAATTCTCTTGCATTTTTCGTTGAGTAATTAATTGCTTTTACACATTCGAATTTGCAATTTTTAATATCCATCATCTCTCAATAAAAGGTTATTCAATCCCCATTTCCAAAGTCGAACACCAACGGTTAATGGACACAATTTCTCTGCAACTTTGTACTCTTCTTCAGTGTATGATAAATCTTTAAGTTTCATGTCTGGTTAAATACATTGAAAAGTGCACTTTTCAAAACTTTCAGTGCTTTCCTGGACAACTGAGGGAGCTGTTGCCGTGATGTCTTCTAGGAAAGACAGAGTTCAATTCGTATTGTTTTTCTGTTGAAATTATGAACCCAGAATTTACTTACTGAAAACATTTCTGAGAAAGGGATTGATGCTCGCTTATTGATGTGGACATAAACAACATGGATTCAGCAAAGAAAACAAAATTTCGTCCTGCAATATCTACAAAAATGCAACATTGTCTGTAAGAGTAATACTTGTTCATTGCATTTTGCGGTTGATTTATTGTGCATCCTTTCGCAGCAGAACACCTATGGTAAATAGAACCCGCGCCAATTCGGCTTGACCAATAACGTTTTAGAGAATTTTTCCCGCCAAACGATTTTTCAGCCCGCGTAAAAATCCCCGATCACCAAAGGTTGCTTAAAGGACGCGATCGAGTGGTGCGTCTGTAGTTGCCACGGGCTTACGTAACTTCCGCCTGGCAATGGTTATTGTTAAACTAAATTTGTGTTTTGTTTGTATTCACAACCGGTGTTTTCGTTTGTGATTCACTTTGTTTATATTCATGCGTTTTGGGTAGAGTAGATTCTGATCTTGGAAAGAGTGTCTGTGTGTGAGAACGGTTTTGATCTCCAAGGCGGTAACATCGAGTGTGTGAGCTGAGAATTTTTGCAAGTGAATTGTCCTTTGACTTAGATGTAGTAAATAATAGGACAATTATTTCAAATTCAAGGGCCCACTATACCAATCATTCGTCTAACTTCAACATCATTGTAAATAGTGTTCATAATCTGGAACTGTAAATATACAGGCCCGAACTGTACAAACTGGTTGCAAGTCATTTTTTCCCATGTGTCTGAAGTATCTTTACCCGGAGTCATCACTAACATAATGATCAAACTGTTCAGTTTAAAGAAGAGGTGACACTGTCTTATGTACAAAACCAATGTAACCTAGAGGCTTTTTCCTGGGATAACATCACAGTTTTGCTCATGAATATAAAAGTCCTCATTATAGCATACAAGCAAAAAGCCAGTAAAAATACCTTTTGGAATAGGTTAACTGAGGCACAGGGGTGCATTTTGAAAGTCTGTACTAAAACAAATTGATTTCAGCTATCATGATATGTCACCGTAACAGAGAAATTCATCAAAGCAAACGCAAACAATCCTAACTTTCCGGAAAAGCTGCTATAATACAGGCGATTCACAATAGTGTGCCTCCAAGGGTTTGCAACGACTTGACTGATTACATTACGCGAAATCTGTCGACCCTTTCCAAATTGGGTAGACAGATTTCGCGCATTGTGATTGGTCAACGCGTTGCAAACTCTTGGGGGGGCACTATTGTGAATCGCTCGTATTCATGGAGCTCGCCGACTGGTTCGACTGATCAGTAATCCTGATCTGTGTCTTCGTCTGCAGTCTGGCTCACTTCGGAATCTCGACATATCGTGAAGCCACCAGACGAAAGATAACAAGCAGGTGCGGTAACCTTTCAGGAGTCGTGCCTACACTGAATCAATGTCGGGTCACATACACACACACAAATCACGAGCAAAATGAACCTAAGTGGAACGGTGACATATTAGTTTCTAAGCGTGGTTTCTGGGAAACTACAGACGGGATAATTTGATTTCTTTACATTTTCTTTTACTTATTTGTTTAGTACCCAGACATCAGTTGCGAGTTGTAAAAAAAGATTACATAACCCATTTAAAACTCCACAATTGCATTAAATATTAGAAACAAGATTAAATATATTGAGTCCGAAATAGAAAAGAGAGAAAACATAAATTTGACCAAAACACAAAGCGAATAAGCATGAACCAAAATCGAATCGAATACACGACTGAGGTAACAGAGACAGGATTTAGAAAAGAACAGGATGTAAAATAGAAAACAATTCAGCAATGCTAGAGAAATGAGTATAAATGTATCACAGATACATGAAAAATTCCAAAATAACAGTCATGAAACCTTGAACATGTAGCCGTCACAATCGCCATTTCCCTTCCAAGGTCTAGCCTAAAATCAGGACAAGAAGTCACATTCCGAATCCACCCACGCTTCAACAGACGTTTCTGTGCGTCTGGCATTTTTTTCTTATCATTTGACAATATATTTAATTCATTTACCGTCTATCGTCTGCCATTTTGTGTGAAGAGGTGTGTGTTACAGCAATTTCCGTTAAAAAAAGTACGCAAAGATGGTGGCTGATACAAAATGGCGTTCGACGTCAGTAAACGAAAAGGAAAGGCCTAATAGTGGCACAATTTAAAGGCGATTTATCAATGCCAGGACCCATCAATTTTGTTGAAATCAACAATATTTTCACTTTGCCAGGACTCTGAGAATTGGCACTTTTGATTTTTCATCCAACTTCTCGTTGAGGATGTACTGAATCCAGCGATATCCCACAATCTCCCATCGTCCCTGCTGGCTGTGAGCACCAATGGCTACTTCCATCCTCTCCTCTATCTGCTCAAGCACCTTTTCGCTCACAGTAAACATGATGTAACCACCTGATAAAAAACACCACCGATTACACAATCAGAATACTACCAAGGTGACTGTAACGGGCTAACCGGGGTCATGCCCCCCCTCCCCAAAAGGAGCAAAACGGTCTCCTTTTTATAACAAAAAATGAAAGTTGGTCTATTTGGTCTATTTCATCGTTCTTGCTACCCAACGTATGTGAAAAGCCGCCAAATTCAGCCAGCCCCTCAGACAGCTAGTTAAGTTACCGGAATTTGATTATAGGTTCGCCCTGAAAACCCACTTATAACGTGACGACCTTGTGTCATGAGACTGTAGCATTAATTTTGATGGCATCAGACTCCAAGCATTTCGAAAATAATGTCCAAAAATCGGAACTATCTGTAAATTTCCTGTTAATTCCCACATTAATCTTCTCAGCTTGTTTTATGTATGTGTGCATGTAAATTATACTTTACTTATTTTCATGAATTAATCATTTATGCAGGGGCCCACTGGAAACCAGTTTTAAAATCATTTAGGCATTTAATAATCTGGCCTCTGCGAATTAAGATCTTAACCTTGCAACACCACATCCTGACATTATCCCAGTGGCAATAACTCTAATGTCTACCTGGATTTGTAATGCGAATAAGTTCTGGAAAACTGGATTCGTCCACGTGACCAGGGACACCAAATGCGGCAGCTATCAAAACTGCATTGTAGTGATCTGGAGGCGAAATGGAGGAAAACTCTTCTCATTTTTAGCAGCATCTCAAATGCCCCGTACGCTTAATTCACGCAACATCCGGTGTCGACAAAAGAAAATTAGAATTTGAGGCGGCTTATAACAGTAATTCACTCATGGACGAGCACATTTTTATAAACGGTTACGGAGTTGGGATCAAATGAATCACGATCGTTATCCCTTGACGAAATGTGACAATATATCCTGAGATGCCAGAAATCAGTGTCAAATCTATTGTAGCAGATTGGTCAGACAACAACAGCATTCATCATTAAATTGGAAAAAAAAAATTACTGTCTGGAATTTTTGTCTTGTGCCCGTCCAGCCTGTCACATATATACTCGCTGTAGGACTGATGTTCCTTGCTCTGATCCAGGGAGGCCTGGGAAGGATCCAAAGCGTCAATGCAAGTGAAGCCGACTCTCTTCAACTGCGTACAGAAGAAAGTAACAGAATTACACGACACTTTTGATACAGAATTAGTTTCTTGCACTTGAGCATATGCATTGTTATTGGAATGAAAACTTCACACATACAGGGTGTCCATGCACATAGAAAGTATACTGAGGTAAAAAAAAATTACATAAAAATGTCACATGTGCATTGACAGGAATGATGGCCACGTGGAGGACAATGCAGTACATCAACCTTTTGAGGTAAGTAGCGAAAATAGAGCAGATTAGATTGGTTTAGGTACATTCCTATAGTGCTTGGTACGTATGTGCTTTTTGAATGATAAATCGAGGTGCCAAATGGACCGAAAAGAAATCGGTCTTTTAAATAAAGACGACTTTGCACAAAAACATATTTTACTGCGTTCCATCTCACTTGCACACAGTTCAACCGAAAGGTCTTTTTAGTCCGTGTGCGTTTCGTTAGTTTCTCGATTTGAAAACAAAAATTTGATATTAAAGCACCTGTCTTGTTTTGTTTATTGTGATAAAGAAAAGCAAAAATTGAAAAACAAGTCGTTTCTTGCTTTGTAATTTGAAACGAAAAATTAAAAAAATGAAACGACTTTTTCGGTTTACATTATTGAAGACAAAAACGAAAATCACTTTGTGTTCCGTTTTTAATGTGAAACGCAAGTGCATCCCCAATTTTTTATTTTGTAAACTCTTTATGCAAAATTGTCGCCCGCTATAAATTAGACGAATTAAACATGGCTGAAATAGAGGATTATGATGAATTCGTTGCTTCTAAAGTACAAGGAAGAGGGGCAACCCACAAACAATTTCTCACATTCAAACTAGCAATGTCTATCTTATAGGAAGTGCACTGGTGATTCTATCCGCAAAAATTGGGCGTGTATTGCTTCACTTAGCCGATTTCCCGATATGAAAGGAAATTTTGAAACACTTCCTGGTGTTTTTTTCTTCTTCTTCTTCCTTTCTTTTGGCCTGATGATCTCAGCTTTGGCTCAATTTTATTACACTGACTGTATTAACAAAAACAGACGAGTGGCATAATGCACCCCCTCGACCTGATGCCATACTTTATGTAAGGAGGCGGCGGCTACCTGCTGCACATTATTATAGTAGCAAGACTACTTCGAACTGAACATGTCCTCAAAGGCGAAACTTGGCTTACAATGAAATTTAAAAGAAATAGACTTTTGTCCCTTTAATTTGATGCCACATTAATTGTGCAGATACCTACCGGTATCGTTCTGAATATTTAATTAATTCCTGTTTTCGAATTATGGCCACTTGCTCGTGGAATTATTCTGCTGCTCAATTACGAGGCGCCCTCACGAGTATATTATCTTACTAGTCATAAATCAGCTATGAATGACAATTCTCTCCTGAGCCTAGCCTACTGTTGTAAAATTTGTGTTTGTAATTTTTCCCCAAATCGTGCATGGCTTACAGTTGTACAAAAAATAACATGTCAATACGTCCCTACCAAGGCTACACTTTGGATTTCCACATCAGACGTTTTGGGGTCTAATTTTACACCTTACCTCTTGTCCAATCAGTCCTGTTCCTGAGGCGGCATCAAGAATCCTGGAAGATTTGTCATCAATCAACTCAGCTGCTATAGCAGCAAATTCAACCGGAGCTTTATAACCTCCGCCCAAAGTATCCTGAAACAGACATATCTACTGATTATGTTAGCCTGGCTAGAGAAGGGGAAAAACATATTTTTCAGTAGAAACATTCAAACGCACAACTATGACCCGGAAGTTGCCCGAGGTAAGCCAGTAAAATCGGCATTTTCTACCTCTAACCTACCTGATCGTACCTTCGTGCCCACGAGTTGTAAAAGTCGGCCACAGATTCATTAGATGCAAAGATTTGAGCCTCTGCCCGATAACTCTCTAGAATCTCCGCCGGGCTTCGTTTGTCGCAGTTAGCCGCCATATTCTGTTGTTACTTACCGTCAATAAACTAACTTTTGACCTTGTGAGTCACATAAGTATACCAAGTTAAACTTGCATAAGTGATCTGCACATTTTGGCGCAATCTGTTTTAAATTGTAAATACGTCGGTCATTCCGAGTCAAATCAAACACTTTTTGGATGTAAATCGACAGATTTTCATGAAACCGGCTAAAACTGTTTTGTCCAAAATCCAAAACGCGATGTTAAGTGCTCTGGGACACGCGCTTTGTGAGTTACAGGTCATCGAACTGCCATTTTCCATTTCGGCTTCGAACGTCTCTGATTAGGAATGTCAGATAGGATGACCTTAATTTTCAGGTCGTACATAAGAAATAATTCCCCTCCCAAACGCACTGAGATCCCATTTTTATATATTGCAAGCACAATAAATACACTTGTGTCTTTCATTCGGCAAATTTCAAAGAAATTAATTTTGCAGCCCACGGGTCAAAGTTCATTTGTTTGACATCCAGATATTCATGGCTTTTTTTTCCCTTCTGGAGTGATATTGAATGCATTTTAGTCGTTGAGAAGTCTAAAATATTCATCACAGTCCACTTTAATTTTTTGCTCACCACAAAAAATGGGGGTGTGATTCAACAGCAAACCCCGCCCCCTAGAAAGTGGGGGAATAAATACTCCCCATCCCCCGGGATTTGCTTCCATGCATTGCTTGCAGGTTGTTCACGAGCGAAAAGGTATGAAAAAGCGCTTTCGGGTATTTGCGCAAGTCCATGCATTAAGGGACTTGGTCAAGTTTAATTTCTGTTTATTTTATTTTTTTCAGGTGTATTTTGGTGGTATGCAGCACGTCGGGGTTGCATACCATTTATCAACCTGCAACAAATGTAATGTGCACCCACTTTGCAAACCGGGGAAAAGCACACACAAGCTTTTCCGATGTAGACACATGTCAAATTAAAGCTTATTCTCTCATCTTACATTTTTTTCGAATTCTGCTGACTTACCCAATGACTTTTTGGCCGTCCAAAGTTGGTCAGCCGCAGTAGATCGAGTCAAAAATTAGAAAAAAGGGAGTTCTGGCGGCCCAGTTAGTAGATCTCGTCATGCATATATCATGAAGTTATCGCCATTTGAAAACTGACGTGAACGCACCGCTTTGAGAAACGGTCATTTAGAAGGCTCCGATTTGATTAAATTTCTCAGTAATACAGTGGAACGTCGCTTTACCGAACACCGCTATACCGAACATTCAGCTGTACTGAACATCGTCCTTGGCTCCTAATATTTTGTGCACAAAACCTATCGAACATTATGCAGTAGCAAATCAACCGAGATTTGCCACAGCATGACTCAGAGATCGATCATGTACAGGGTAGTCCTGTTAGTGGCTCTCTGCCTTTTCCCACAAACACTCCAGTCCACGGGCAACAAATGGTTGTATGCAAATAAATTAAATGATGATTTGTTGTATGCGGGCAATTTGGGGCAAAAGTCTTGTACCGAAAATAATACATTCCGTCTTACTACCATTCAACATGAGCCTGTCCTGGAGTGTCCAGCTCCTGAAAGCCTGGATACAATTCTCCATAGACGATATTGCTGCAGCCTGATTAAATAAATGACCCAGTCGGAAAGAAACATAACACATTAGGTAAGTGTGACTGGATGACATCAAATAAAAAAGATGAATACATGATACACAATAACAAATGGGAAGAAAACCAATCTAAAGCTGAACCCGAAATACCAAATTTAGAATGAATGCGATTTAATAAAATAGCATGGTCTACTGTGTCAAAGGCGAACGTGAAATCGAGTAAAAAGAAGAACAACTTGTTGCGAATTCAATTTGAAAGAAAATCTTTCGTCAGTTTAATTAAGGAAATTTCTGTACTGTGATTTTTTTCCTATAGGCAAACTGAGGCCGTGTCCGAAATGGGCTTCCAGAGCTACGGCTAGGTCTATTGTCTGCGCGTCTCCACGCATTTCCAATGGAGCGAAGACCTAGACCTAGCTCTAGACAAGAGATTCGGATGCAGCCTCAGTGGATTTAAGAGTCACGTGAGCATGGATCCGGTTGAAAACAGCTTTCTCGATCAGGTTTAACACAAATGAAAGATTACTAATTGGCCTATAATTTTCAAGTTTGGTCGGATCAAGATTAGTTTTCTTCAACACTGAAACGACGAGCGACTCTATCCAGGCGGCTGGGAAGGTTCCAGTAACTAATGATTAAGATTAATAATCTTAGTGATAACCGGAAGAAGAACATCAAGATTGTTTACAACGACCGATGTGGGAACTTGATCGAGATAGCAGGATTTACGAGCGGATTGTAAAATAAGCGTCTGAACCTCCATTTCAGTTGATGAAGAAAAGCAATTCAACTGTAATATCAGCTGGGCAGCTATTGTTTTAATTGTAGATAATATCATGGGTGTAGTGTCTTCCAAACTACTGAGCTGGAGATCGAAAATGATATGAGTTTTCTGCACCTTTGACAAAAAGAAATTTCCCATGCGATTGGCTAAGTCAAATTCTTTATCCAAGGAAGGTGACAGAGAAGTTGTATCTAGTTTGAATAATTTCCTGGTCACGCCAAGTAACTTTCCCATATCTCTAGAGTTCTCATCAATAATTCTGGAATAAAAATCACGCCTAGCTTTATTCATAACAGTAGTGGCAGCATTCCTGCAATTCTTAAAATGCAAAAAATCAGAGACACGTTTACTCATTCGCCACTTACGATCAGCTTGTCACTTCAGTCTTTTAGCCGCACTGATGTCATTACTATACCATGGAACATGGGGACGGATTTTGACTAATTTTGTACGTTCAGGCGCATGACAATCCAATAGCTGAATGAGAGTACTGTTGCAAACATTCGGAGACGTGCTCCAAGTGATCCTAATTACACAACGTTGATACAAATTTAAAGGCATCGGCATCAAAATAACGCCCTGTAGGCTACGTTCGCCTTTTAGCAGTGCAGTTGGGTTTTGAAAAACACAAATCACACAACCCTGAGAAATGATCGGAGATCAAGTGAGGAGTGCGAATAGTGGACTCTGAATTGTATGTAATGAATGAGAAGATCTAGCACGTGTCGAGACCGGTGAAATGGTTTATCGACAAATTGTTGAAGGCCAAAGGATGCCAGTAGCTCAGCAAAGCGTAGAGCATCACAATTTCGTTAGCATGAAAATTGAAATCGCCAGCAATCAACAAAGGTTCATCAACTAAAATTACAGTTTCAAGATAGATGGCAGATCCATCAAAGAATGGGCCAGTGGCGACTCTGTTTTTGAGACTAGGGATGATCTGTCTGAAAAGAATTGCAATGCGTAATCTGTAAAAACCTGTAGGCCTACAAGTTAATCATTCAGAATATTCAAATGAAGAGAGTTCGTCTGCGTCAACTTTCCCGACTTGAGTCACGCAAAAGCAGTCCCGCCCCGGTACGAGGACAACATGCATGGTCCAAGAGATGAAAGCCGGGTGGTTAATTTGCTCCTGGGACTACCACAATATCCTTAAGCCACGTCTCTGTCAAGATGAGAATGTCGAGACATGAAGACACAGCATTCTTGAAGTGCAGCGGTTTTATTCCTGACCGACTGAGCGTTGATACAGCAAACTTAAAAGATTGAAGAACCACCTCGATGATAGTTCACATAGCCAGGGAAGACGTTACGTCAACTAGAGTTCTGGGTCAACTAACGACTAAACGACGACGACGGAGTAAACTGGGGAGGATTGGCAGTTGACGCAAATGACGGCGGCGGCCGGCCCGGCGACCGTGGAAACGCCAAGGTCCTTCAGTTTAGAGAGTAGGTTAGGTTGCATATCGTCTTGCCCCAAGACTTTACTGTTTGGCCGGCGTACAGTGCAGGCGACATGCGCTAGCAAGCGGCTAGTTCGTCTCTTAGAATATAGCGCCCTCTACTGCTACAGCTATTTGGCTGTGCTTGCTGACGCGTATCGCATGCACGATGCAACAGCCAAAAAATTAGAACCAGTCTTGGGACAAGACTAGGGTTGCATGAGGTGGGGAGAGGCGGACGGCACACTGTACATGGATGTACTGTCATCTCGTTCGGTTCGACCGATTTGTGAACCCACAACATGAAGTGTCCACACACGCTCAGTATACCATTACGGGTGCCACAGAGGCCTAGCCAGCTTTCGGTGGGGAAGGGCAAATTCAAAAGCGAATGCGGCTTCGAACTCATTGAACATGATTTTAGGGAGAAAAATCAAAAGCCTTATTCACAGTCCTGATATCCTTGCTGTTATGTTAGGCTATTGTTTTCATAGGGTTTTGGTGCTCATATTTGATGAATAATATACCGATTATTCTTACCTATGAAGTAATCTTTGTATTAAAAAAAATCTGCCGAGGGGGGGGGGGCTTGCCCCTTGTCCCCCACTGGATACGCCACTGGGGATGGGGTGCCGTGAAACCAAAGGACCACAATGTACAAACTCTTATGCGCAGGTACAGCCGTTGAGTTTCAATTAATAGTCCCTTAGTATATGAAAGGTGAAAACGTCGACTCGAGACTGAACCAGTTTTCTACTTCCAATAAATACAAATATAACATGGTTTGAGGGTGAATAGTCGATGTTAGATCTGCAAGATACTGGAAGTTAACAAATAAGTCCTAAACCGTAAACAAAAGCCGAGGAAACTATTTTTTCAGCCTTCAATAGTGATTTGCAAGTCCCCCTCCCCCCTCGCCACTTTCCGTCACCCACGGGAACAAACTTAATTCATTTGTTCCAAAACATACTTTGGAATTGCCCTGTTTTCACTGAAACCGAGTTGGCTAATTTTTCCAATCTAAACTATAATCAGTACATTTCATTAGATGCCACAAAAGAACGTGAAGTCACTGACAAAGAGAGCCAAAGATGGAAGTTGGCACGTCGCTTCCAAAAAAATGTGCTTTGTCCTGATTCATTTTGTGATAACAAATCACAATTAAGTGCTTTATTTCCCCCTTCAATTTCCTGCAAACTTGACAATATCGTGATTTCTGACTCTCATATCCAAGTTTTAGTAGCAGTCAATATGCGGATATTGCCCAGGACAAAGTGGTGCATAAAATGTAATTCATATGTGGCGACATGCTGAAAAAATCCTAAGATGGAATTAATTTCAGGCTTTTCGTGGTGAAAAACAGCAGTAAGTGGAAAGGTTTTCTGTAGCACCATGCAAAGGAATATCTCTTATGAGTATGTGTGGTTCTGAAAAGAACGGGAGTAGGAATCCTGAGACCAATAATACAGGGTTGGAATCGATTAGCAGATCAGTTGATCGGTTCAAATACTGTCCCAATCAAGTCATTTGCTGAATGGAATTCCATTTTGATATGTAGATTGCACACTTCATCCATTGGGCAATTACAGGCAAAATGCTCACTTCAGTGAAAAAATAAAGTGGCAAATTGCACTTAATGATAGCTTAGTAAGTAATGTGTCAATTTTCATTTTCCAATAGAAAAATCATTATCATAACAAAATTTGGTATTTTTTCCACCAGTGAAAATATTTTATAAAGTATCACAATAACACGGATATTTGGCTATTTTTGAAGAGTTTATTCTTCCCGTCTCCAAAGAAGGCAAAAAATGTCTTTAAGGTTTTTTAACTTTTAAACAGTAGTTCAGTGTAAAAGTCAACAGAAAATCACAATGGATTTTTATATCATTCATCAATTTTCAAGCACTGATCCTCAAAGTTGTGTGCTTTTTAACATTAGAAGTGTCATGTCCGTTAGTTTCTCACTATAACTTTTCATAACCGTAAAGAAATTTATAAGAGGTTACTGCAAATTCAGTTTCTATGTTAAGATTAAGTCTCCTTACACGTGTAGCAACAATTATTCTTTCCCACATCTAGTTTTCACACAAGTGGCGTATTACGGACAGGGCACTGCCTAACGGACATGACACCTAAGTGGCAGGAACAACATTGCGACTCAGTATAACAGACTGATGATCAGTTTCAACTGCTCGAGAATAGTGGGCTGTTTCTACATACTTTCAGACCTTTTTCACCCACGTGACTAGATGTAAACAATACCACCACATATGGACCGCCTTGGCCACGGTGATCGAATATATTCCTTCGAGCAGCTTCAACCACGTGCAAGCGCACGTGTGAACGTTCCATCCATGACTAGTTTATCTTGAATAGGTAGATTACTATCACAACACTATGCACTCATTACCATCACGACACATCATAGGTCCAGCACGATCGTGACATCACAAATACTTAGTCGCCAAGGTGACCAACTTGCAAGAGAATTGAAATGATGTAAAATTTCTCAGAAATCAAGAGGTTTCATTCTCTTGCAGTCAAGAAAAGGAAGCATTTATTGACAATAATCAGGTTGTGGATGTTTTAGACTATACAAGATTGGATGACAGAGGATGATTCCACTTCAAGGATGACATTAATGCTGAATGAAAGAACTTTTCAGAAGTCAAACAAACATGCCATTTTCCTTTCAGGTGATAACTTTTATTTGATAATGACACTGGCTCTGGGATACTGCTTTAGTGCATTTTGCAGATATTTAACGTCCTCCAAACTGATGTGGCTCATACTTGTACATTTTCATGATACATGTCTGTTCAAACTTTGGATTTTATACAGGTCTGATATGTTTAGTTTTCTTTGCCTCAAAGCTTGAGATGTGATCTTCTTTGTTGTATGTCGCCGTGGTACTCCAAGCATTGTATTCCATGTACAAGAGTATAGCTGTTGGATCACTAAATCTACAAAAAGAACTGTTTAGATGTATTCTTCAAGAACATTAGGTAGTAGTACTGTGCCATTAGTTTCTTCTTTTTCATTTTGGAACAATGTATGTTTTTTTGGTCTAAGCACAAGCATCACAACGTGACGACCAACTCTGACAGAAGTCCAACGTTTACCCACTACGAGCTGCAGGTTTTTATATGGCAACTTGTCCTGTATGATAGGTTTATTAACGCAAGGACTAGTGCGCTTTTCTTCCACGAACAGTCTATTCCTTCGCCAGGACTCTGAGAATTGGTACTTTTGCCTTTTCATCCAACTTCTCATTGAGGAAGTATTGGATCCAGCGATATCCCACAATCTCCCATCGTCCCTGCTGGCTGTGAGCACCGATGGCTACTTCCATCCTCTCCTCTATCTGCTCAAGCACCTTTTCGCTCACAGTAAATATGATGTAACCACCTTGTAAAAACGCAGTATTAACAGAATCAGATTACTTCTTGGTAAAATCAGTACCGTCCATGTCACAGGAGACTACAGCATCAGATGGCATTAAAGATCAGACTTGATTCAAGCATTTTGAAAAGAAAGTTCAAAACTTTCAAATTATTTGAAAAGTTTTCTATTCTTGCAATCGTTTTTTTTCTTAGCCAGGTTCAGTAACATGCTTTTTATTTAACTTATTTAATTAATGAATTAATTTATAAATTATACAGTTTGAAAATGTTTGGATAATACCCACAGTAAAAATGTGTAAATAAATACATGAATAAATCCAGGTTCAACGAATTGAATTTCTTTTTAAAAATTCTGAATCCCCCCCCCCAACATCTCGGTGGCAACAGCTCTGCTTACCTGGTTTTGTAAGGCGAATTAGTTCTGTAAAACAGGACTCGTCCACGTGACCAGCAATACCAAACGCACCAACCATCACAATTGCATTGTAGTGATCTGAAGACGAATTAATTGGAGGAAAACTAGGCTCACTTTTGTGGAAGCTCAAATGCTTAATTTATTCGAAGCATCTTCCGCTTTCAACAACTGAAACAAAATAATATCTCAGATATTTAGCAACAAATTGCTGCTAACAGTAATTAATGATGGAAGAGCAAATTGTTATGGTAATGGTTAGAGTTAGATCACACGGGTCGTGGTCATTTTAGACACAATGCGACGTGCAGTGACTTCTGTCAAACATTTTGGTTAATTTATCGAATAAGACCATAATATGACTGTCACAACTGTCAGTTCCCAATCGATTGATGCCGATCTTGAGTGTCAGAAGTTGCAATTTGTCCTATATAACCGAATCCAAAACACCCACAAGGCAACAACAGCTAGAATTCATCGTCGTCGGATCGAACAAAATTATTAAGCCCCTACTGTCTGGAATTTTCGTCTGGTGCTCATCTAGCGTGTCGCAAATATACTCGCTGTAAGACTGATGTTCCTTGCTCTTGTCAAGGGAATCCTGTGAAGGATCCAGTGCGTCAATGCACGTGAAACCGAGTTTCTTCAACTGTATTGTAGAAAGAAATCAAATAACATGGGTGTCCCGATATAGAGCAATTCCTGACACTTGAGTATACACTTAACGTTTTGGAATTAAGACTAACAGGTTCACCTGCAATGTTGGTGTCATTTCATTTTGTGTTGAGCAGTTGAGTAACGATGTGGCATTAGCAGGGGTTTCCTTAAACTTTGGACTATTGTTTTCATTACTGTACTATGGAAATAAGAGTGTTTTTGGCAAAGGGTAAAAAGGGAACTCTCTGCCCGATTAATAAAAGTTTTTAATACGGGTTATTCGCGTTGCGACAAAATGTATGTCAAAAATGTGCCGTAATGTGCTACTTCGACAGCTCCCTCAAACAGATAAATTGGCAGAAACGTCATCACGAGCCACCTTACTGGTAAATTTTTAGAGACATAAATCAAGAAACTTGCATTAGGAAGCTCTGGAAGTGCCATCCGACTTGTCGAGATCCTGACATTTTATCTCAGGATGATGACATATTACGGGCAATATGGCGAGACTATGAGATGTTTTATCGTATGATGAAGACATCCTGTAATGGAAATGGCCACATCCGGCGATTGTTTATCATGGGATGACTATATCTTAAAAGCTGGATGACGGCATAATTAGTTGATTTATCAAGGGATGACGACATCGTGAAAGTGATATGATGGCATTATTTATCAATGGTTACCTTGACAAACCACCTCGAAAACAGGTGGCTTGACATGGTAGAGATTTCAAAGCAATGTCCGGTTGCCGTACATATGATATTATTTAGATGATGTCTCAACGCCTGTTACAAGTTGTACGTAGACATGACGTACAATTGGTGGATGTCTCTGGATGATGACATCCTGAGCTGATGATTATCGTCATTATCTGAGGATGTCATCATCCAACTTTTACGATGTCGTCATCCTTTGATAAATTATCTCAGAATGTCGTCATCCAACTTTTACGATGTCGTCATGCTATGATAAATTATCTCAGGATGTCGTCATCTTGCGTTTATTATGTCGTCATCCCGAGAAAAACATGTCAGGATCTCAAAAAGGCGGATGGCACTTCCAGAGGTTCCGTAGTATCCAGCAAGTGTGATTTCTACCCTTTCATGCTAAATTATTTCAGGATGTCGTCATCCAGTTGTTACGATGTCGTCTTCCCATTAAGAATTATAGCAAAAAGTCGCCGTCCAACTTTTACGATGTTGTCATCTCGAGATTAATTAGCTGCAGGTTGTGAACATCTTCCCTGTATCATTTCGTTACCCCGAGAAACAATTAATATGTCAGGATGTCAACATGTCCGATGGCACTTCCAGAGCTCCGTACACGAACTCCTGCCATGCCAGTTTTTAACAATGAAAGGTTCGAGGAACGTAGTCAACACGGAAATAGACAGTAAAATGTACCTTTCAATAGGTGCCTTTCGAGGTGCCTATCAAAACTCTAACAAAATGTTCCTGATGAATTATTTTATATCACGGCATTTTAAACCAAAAACACAACTATACATCCATCTCACTGTCTGAAATTTTATGTTACACCTTAGGCCTACCTCTTTTCCAATCAGTCCTGTTCCTGAGGCGGCATCCAGAACCCTGGAAGATTTGTCATCAATCACCTCATCTGCTACAGCAGCAAATGTAAAAGGAGCTTTATAACCTCCACCCAAAGCGACCTGAAACAGACAAGCATAAATTCCTTATCATGCACAGTCATGTTTCTGATGAGGAAGAGCTGGACCCGCAGAACTTGTTCCCGAGACCCCCCTCTGCTCTGACTAACCTGATCGAATGTTTGTGCCCACGAGTTGTAAAACTCCAATAGAGCTTCAGCAGATGTGTGGCTGTGCGCCTCTTTCCGATAGTTGTCTATAATGACCGCTGGGTTTTGTCTGTCGCTGTCGGTCGCCATTTTCTCTCAATACGTTTCACCCAAGAATAAATACAGCATCTGAAAATTTCGATCCCGTTCGTGTCTTTAAATGAATTAAACTTGGATAAGTGATGGCGCATTGTGGTGTAATGTGTTAAATAGCATAGGCCTAGTCCACAAACTGGTCTGATGGCTGAGAGTTGGGTATGCAAATTGTGATTTAGTCGGCGTAGGCAATACAGTCAGGATGACCTCGTGACAGTGCTATAGTTGCAACGTGGGGATATATGGGGACGTGTCCATCACACGTCCTTTTGTAAGTCCATCAAAAGTCAGGTCACTGTGGTGGCCCTGGGGGGACATCGCCAATTGTCAATATTGACGTCAATATTCACGACCAAAATTCACGACTCGCTCTCTGGTCACGAATATTGCCGTCAATGTTCACGACCAAAATTCACAACTTGCTCTTCACTGAGTGGCAAAGAGTGACGCCAACATTTGCGTCCAAATGTTGACATGACTCGTTGTATCTCCGGTCGCAAATATTGCGACTAAAAAGCGACTCGTGAATTCAGGTCGTGAATATTGACGGCAATGTTGACAATTGCGATGTCCCTCCAGGGCCACCATATGTCATCGACATGCGCTATCAAAACGAGTCCAGCGAACAGAGGGCTACGATGTACAAATATTGGGCCTACAGTATGGACTGGCAATAGAGGTTAATACTGGCGGCTCCATGGTGTCTCCAGAGGCTGTTTTTGTTATTTAAAATTATTGGTTAATTTGTTACAACGAATACACAAAAGATTGACTCGAGCCTATGGTGATACAAAGCTCTTGCCTTCAGAAGACCTCAATCAAAATGGTCACTAAAGCGTGAATATCACTGCGCCCCGAGTGACTTTGAGTGACCAGAAGCTCGAGGGTGCTATTTTCAGAGGCCGAAACTTGTATGAAACGGAATGGCACAAAATTTAAATTGGCTTCTGAGTTGCTGAATTGACCGAGACAACCTTTTATTCCTAAACCAAGCAAAACCAAGGAAACTTTTAGGCCTATGTCGACTTCAATAGTTAGTTGCAAGTCCCCCCCCCCCATACGTCAGTGTTCGTCACCCACGAGTGTTATGGTTTGGGGCAGAAAACTGGACATTTTTGCAACCACATGGATCGAGAAATTCTCCACTCCAGTATGATTACCTCGAATTCTGAATTCAACTGAAAAGATAGGGCTACTAGGCCTAAAGGTTTTCCCGGCCAATTTCGGAAAATGTGTGAACGAATTAGTAGTAGCAGCATTCGTTGTCGAGCGACATAGAACGAACATTCAAATCCCCGTTTCTATTTAACACATAAAAATTCTATTCCACGAGAGTGCATTCAGTTGTATAAAGTCAGCGTTCAATTTCTCGATATTGCACTGGTTTAGTATATTGACATTCATTTTTGCGCGAAATCGAATGCAACTCTGCAATCCTGCATTCGTCTTAATTTGAATTCAACTAATTTCCGAAAATGAGCAGGCCATTTTGGGCAAGTTAACGTATGCCTGGCCAAGAATTAGAATGCGTTTGTGTGCTAACAGAAGTTACATTCTTTGAAGTTTTTAGTTTAAAAGTTTTGAATATTCATCATTGAAATGAACCATTCATGTTGTCATTGGAAACATTGTAAGACACCTATAAACACCGGCACTGAGGGAACCTTCCTTCTTGTGCTGCGTTTCAACCATAAAAACCTAATATGTTTTTAGAATTTAATTACAAACACAATATAAATGTTCATGAGTAACATGACATTTATCTCAGTGGTGTCATGATATGTATATTCTAATCAAATTGAACGTATATTGTGCAAATTTATATTTCAGCAAATGAAAATGAATACTCATTTTCAAAGGGTAACGGTAAAAGATTTTTAGTGAATAAGAATATATATATTTGTTGTAACTGACAAAAAATACATCGATCCGAAATCCCAGTCACGTATCTGTAACCTCTTTAATGAAACGTAATATATGTTCATTTATTTGAAGGATGCAAAATGAAATTGAATGCTTGTTATTGCGAAAATGAAACCAGGTCTTAAGTCGTATTCAAAATCTACGCCAAATTGAATTTTTATTTTACAAATTAGATCGCGCATTTTCTGAAATTGGCCAGGAAAACCTATATTTATCAATCTTCGTGCACCACTACTGGGAAACCATTTCTGACAAGACGAAAAAACAGGAACTGAAGATGCATTTGATTGCAAGGGGACGTGGCTATCACCAGGTTCAACGCTCTATCAACAGTGCCCGCTCAGTCCAAGAAGTCTTGCTCTCAAGGAGAAGAACCCCCCCCCATGAAGAAACCATCCCCAGGGTTCCCTTGGTCACCACTTTTCATCTGCGCCTTCCTCCCCTCCGCAAAATAATGGACAATCATCATATCTTCCTCGCTTCAGACCGCCTTGCCAGTGCCATCCCAGACACCCTGGGGAGTCGGGTTGGCGTAGTGGTTCTCTCCTCGCATTCCACCTCTGCGGTCCGCATTCGATTCCCGGCTCGGTCCACATGGATTGGATTTTCAGTCCTTCGCGGGATTTACCCAATATATTCCTCTGAGGATTTCCCCCATAACTAAAACTGTAACTGCTTCTCGTTGTCTCTTCTCTACAGGTTTCTTCAGGCTTGCGAGCTACAGTGCCTAGGGCGCTTTTGAGGAATCTTTTGTGTCATTACCAGAAATTAATAAAAATAATAACCCACCGCAACCTGTGGGACCTGATCGTTCGGGCAGCCCCCCCCACCGCATACCCACCCACATATTATTCAGATAAATTCTGGACAGCTCCTCGATAAGGTCATAAATCTTATTTCTTGCACGGTGTGCAGTATTCCGTATGCCCGAGAGACGATAAGAACACTCTCAAGAAGCCTTTCTATGGCTATAGACCTACGTTTAATTGACACCAAACTAAATATCCCTGTGGGCCACCACTTCAACCTTCCTAACCATTCTATGTCTGACATGATCTTACAAGGCACAAAATATTTTGGGCTCCGTAAAGATGCTGTTCACCTCAACAGGGAGAACCCTTCGTATGCACCGTGACCAGAACATTAAAGAGGGACACTCTTTTTCTCTCCCTCTCTTTTGTCTGCAGATTATACCCCCCTCCTACTATACTTGGGGTCCAATTCCATCCATTGTATTTTTTCTTTAATCTCTTCCCACCTTACATTCGTCTGTTGTTCAACCATGCCTTTCACACACTCCCCTTTATCCTTTGCCCCTTTATCCAGCCTACAGCTTTCTTGATCTTTCCTTTTGTCATCCTGCATTCGTCCCTGCTTGGTTGATTCCCTGTTTGCTTGTTTGTCCCTATCTCTCTACCTCACTAGTCATTTTTCCTTTGAGCAGCAGCGTAGCCACGTTCCCCCCCCCACAAATTCCCGGTGCCCCTCCCCCACTGAAAAAAAAAGGGAGGAATGGATATTGGACACGGCTAACAAAAGCCTTCCCCCCCAAAAAAACCACTCAAAGCTGGTTCCCTCATAAGATGCTGGTGCCCCCTTTGTGCCCCCACCCCCAGTAAAAATCCCAGCTACGCCACTGCCTTTGAGAAAGATTATGCAAGCATCGAAACGTCAAGCCCTCCATATTTTGTGATTTGAATTACATAGGCCTACATGTTTGTTCTGCAAGACGAAAATAGTAATACATGTATATGGTGAGCAGTTGACGTTTCTTTATCGCTGCTGTTGATGTTCCGGTATCTCCTCTGCAAAACTTTATGCTAGGACCAACATGTCTGCATACCTTTTTTTCATACTATGCCCCTTTGAACCAAGCGTACAAAGCAGAGCGATGCATTAACTCATTAATTTGTAGAGGGGATCCGTCACTGAAATGCAATTTTTTTTTCAGTTGAGTATGGATATCATGGTTTCAGTGTTGATGTCTTTACAGATATCATACATGTGAACGACTAACAAGAATGAAAACATATCACTCCCGGTGAAATTGGTGACAAATTTGTTTCTTTAATTACCGACCACGTCTCTTCTGTGTCCATTGAAGCGTGTGTGTGAATTATTTCTAAAATGACTGCTCCAAATGGACTTGGCAATGATGGTGTGACGACATACCGTTCGAACGAATTGGATATGCAGACAACATTAACGGCAATCGTTTCAGTTACTAACTGACATTAGTGAGAAAAAAACCAGAAAACTCAACCAGCATGTTGAAAGTTGGCTCTTTCTTTGAACTTAAGAAGCACATGAAACATCAATAATATTGCAAAATTTGATAGTCGTTGGGTAGCAGTAAAACGTTTTCACAAAAGTTCGTGAGTCAGTAAGATATTTGTATCATGAAGGTATACATCATATTCAGGTGTTTTAACTTCTCAGATTTTGCGTAACGACGCGTTTGTGCACAAGGGCAAATTTTGAAGTAATGCAGAAAAGGGTTGACAGTGGAGACTGGAAGACTTGGTGATATCTTTAAATGGCTGCATACCGTACAGTGGCAGGTGGTTGGGCGATTTGTCACCGCTTCCACCATGTCCCGCATTTCACGTTATTCCACATCTCAAGGGATGGGGAACAGTGAAACTTAAAACTTAGGCTCTGAATTAAGTCCCAGGGTTATGATAAATTATAAGCAAAGGTCTGTGGTTCTTCAAATTTGACGAGCATATCAACAATCAGTACTAAAATATTCTTAAGGCTGAAGAGCATTCGACAATGATCTGACATAAATGTCACTTGCGTACATGGTCAAATGTCTTCGTATCTAAATTTGCAAGTACAACAATTTACATTTGCAAGTAAAACGATCTATGATCTAATGTCAATTCTGCTGGGTACATTTTCCATGTCGCTACGAAACATGAAAACCAAAAACTACTGGACAAAGTGGGTTAAATCCCAAAGCAATGGACAGACAACTCAAAGCTGCCCAGTGGTATTGTTAGAAGGCTGATATATACTCCAAAACAATGTTCGGTAATACATGTAGGCCTATGTGGATTGCAGTGCACTTTGAACAAAACGAAAACGCCTGAAATTCTTTGGTGTGAGTGGTTTTACATGTAATTTTACAGAGTGACATCATAACTTAAAGAGTCTTTGAGACATTGTAAAAGAAGTTCTTTTAAATTTGTTTTAAAGAATTACTTTAAAAACTGTTTTGGTATAGATCAGAAAGGAAATTGAAGAGATGTAGAATTTTTTTTAACAATTACTTCCCTGTCTGTGATGCACTGTGTTAAATTACAGAACGGCTGATACGCCAACTTTTGAAGATGTGCTAAGTGAGACCATTTTCAGACGTGAGACCATTTCGGAAGTGAAATTTAGTTCGTTTTCATGGGTGACAGAATGAGCCAAACTATGGGTAGTTATATGTACAATGTAGTAATTATTTTGAACAACTAACAATATAAAGAGCATTTACCCTCGTGATATAATTCGTGATATAAAATAACGCTTTCCTACCAGACATATGGTAGAACTGATGCAAAAATTGAATGGACTTCATTTAATGTATACACTTGCACATTGTGTGTACTTACACACAGGATAATAGTGAAATTAAATCATACATACAGTGTTTGCACATACATATGGTCATAAATCACATAATGGAATGTCAGCTGGGCAACTCTGCCTCTTCAAACCATTTAAAACCAGTTACAAACGGAAGCTCTACAAACAAATGGCCAAGGGAAATGAATATTCATTCATGTACAAGTTCCAATTCAGGATATCAAGAAATCTTTGGATGAGTTGGAGAACATTGGTATTAAAGCAACGCTTGTCAGAATAATGTTACTGTTAAGACTCAAAGTATTAAGCATATAATAAAAGTTAATTCCGAATTTCAATAAACAATGATTATAATACCCAATACCCCACATAACTACAATCATAAAAATATATGATTATTATATAGATTTGAAATCATTTTGAATACATATATACATGTGCACAATGTCACAATCCATACTTGGAAATTACTAAATATTGCAAAGGGAACAAAACAGAAATCCTGTAATTGTAAACTGGAAAAAAAATACATTGCAAATTACAAGTTGTGTTAATAATAGTGAGCTCATATTTATTTATGAAGACAAAATAGCATTAAACAGACACAAAGACATCCTAACAAACAAACAAACAAACCAACAATGGAACAAGATGCCCAAGTTAAAATTGGACACCAAAGTGCAGCCAAATATATCTGACGGTACAAGTCCACAGACACAAAATGAGTAACAACAGGAAACAGTGAAACCCAAGCAAGTCTTAGATACAGAAGACATGTACATACAGTTGCGGAAAACATCAGAATGCTAATAAGTGTTAATAATGCAACTTTTAGGGAATGAAAACGAAATTAAAGCTTACTGCTTTTTTACTGTTTGGGAAGTTGCCAATCACTTCAGATTATCCCTAGGGTCAATGTCCGACTACAATCACTGTTTGGTTATGTACGTTCCCATACATTTGTACATGTTTGTAAAATGAACCATCTGCATGTAGTGTTGAACACTTCAGCATCCTTCGTAATTTGCCAGACTGCTTGTGCCCCTTATGTGCAAACCCGAGAAAAAAATACCTGACGGGCATGCTTCGCCTTTCAGAGTAATCAATTCAGCAAAAACAGAGGGACACACTGTCTGGTGCTTCAGGACAGTTAATGCAGTTAATGCGTCAAAAACCTGCCCACAAGCAACCTTCAAGGGCTTTGTAGAGCTTTGCTGATTACATCCTATATTATGTATGTTGGGTTGACAAGGATAGGAATGAGTTATCGATTGAAAGTATTCTAAATTCTTGTCGAGGTGATTACTAATAAGGTGCAAATAATTGGAGATGCCCAGTACAAATGTTTTCAGCTTTTGCCAATCACAACAGCACAATTTTCTTTAAAATGGAGGTGCACCGAAGGCAAACACCCTCCATTTGTGCTGTTCATGTCAAGGCAAGGAATTCACCTAAAGTAGAAATAATCACAAATGTTTCTGCTATAATAGGCATTTTCCCATTTATTCAGCAGCCTGTCCGACTGGTTTCAATGATGTAGTCATAAAATAATATTTAACAATACTGAGAGTGTGTCTGAGCTTTGGGGCTTTAATACTGAAACACAATGTCATCTTTGCTTATTAGATGCCATGTAACATTATTATTGGTACCTTTTCCATTTTGGGTGGGGGAGAATCCTTATAGAATTTTTTAATCATAAACTATCAATAAATACATGGTTTTTTTTAAGTTACCACTTTGGCAATTGCAGTTAAATTACTTCATGTAAATAATTCAATTCTTACAGTGATTTCGTTTGAAAGGTAAGTATTTATAGTAGTTTTATGGAGGTGAAAAGAGGACAAGCCTAAATCCTCAAGGTGAGTGGAAAAAGTCATCACATTAAAATTGAAGGGCTGGGGACTATAAGTCAACTTAGCAGGAGTTCATGGACTAAGCACATAAATGTCAATCAAAATCATACATGTAGATCAAAATCATCCATGTAGATCAAAATCATAAATGTGAAGCAAAGTCATACATGTACCTCATATGTACATGACATGTCCACATATCATAGTGGAATAATACCTGACCAAAGCACTGTTGTGCAAATCACAAACTGAGGAATAAAAAATGACACTCATCCTTGTAGTGAAAGAACTCTATACATGTACAAACAACACATGTTCCTGACCCCACGACTGAAAGTGTAGACCCCAATTTGAAAGGCCTTAAATAATGAAAACCTTATGAGAAGATGGCTAAAATAACGAACGATGAAAGTTTGAGCTTTATTTCACAGACTGTAACAATCACTGACTGTACATGTAATTTTCAACAAATTATCTGAATGTGCAGTGGTATCTGCTCTCATCATTAAAAAGGTATTTCAACCATCCTCTCCCATCAAGCATGTTCTTTAATTAAACAGGATCAGGTAGGTGTACATGTAGGTAGGTGTACATGTAGGTAGGTGTACATGTACATGTAGGTAGGTGTACATGTAGGTAAGTGTACATGTACATGTAGATAGGTGTACATGTAGGTAGGTGAACATGTATGTAAGTGTACATGTAGGTAGGTGTACATGTAGGTAAGTGTACATGTAGGTAGGTGTACATGTAGGTAGGTGAACATGTAGGTAAGTGTACATGTAGGTAGGTGTACATGTACATGTACAGTACATGCAGTTATTTTGTGCATAATTCTTGAGTGCAAAAAGGAACTGCACACGGCACTTCACTCCAACAAAAACTCCACTTGGCTCCTCTTCAGTAATCAGTAGCATATTAAAGGGGGTACTTGCCCCTCCCCCAGAGACATATTGCTGACCTTTCTTATGGGTACCGAAATTGCTTGCACTTCAAAAAAAGGTACCACCACCTGAAGGGGGGGTGTGTAGACTTTTTATGGATGAAAAAAACTTGGACCACAGTTAGAGAAAATTGCCCTCCGTAATGGAAGTACGTGCCATACATGCCACGCTATAGACCTCCACACTATTAGTACCACAACTCCATTGTGAAGATCTCATGGTGATATTTGGGGATTCCAATAACAGGTCTAATGCTACGGTATTCACTACACAAAGGAAAATGTTCGGCAAGTATACTCCTGCCTCTCATAGATCACCATATGTCCATTAACATTATGGTGCACCAGTAGGTTCCCTGCCAACTGCAATTAACTCGTCAAGGCAATTTGCCTTGTCAACAGATATGTTGAGCCGCCAGTGGGAGCGTGGGTACATGTATGTTCATGTTAATGTAAAGGTACATGTATTCTACAATAAGGACTTGGATAAGAAAAAGAGTCAAACAATCCATGGACGTAGTGAGCAAATCGGCAATAAATATAAATGGCTGAACATAAAAAAAATTCTAGTAATTACACATCCCTCAAGGGTGATTGAACAATAGCACATAGGGTGAAATGAGAGAACATTGCAGCTTTCTGTGTTCACCAGTCCTATTCTGTGACGAGGACTGCAGGAAGTGACAACACGCTCAGGCCACTGCACTTGGGCTTTCTAGTATAAGGCCCATTCCCATTTTTGCTTCATCACTGTAAGCGTTCAAAAACCCACCTTCTCTACCTTCCTTAAGAAAGGAGATTGAAGTGAAAAATTCTGTTTTCGACAGAGTATTGCCATTTTCTTTCTTTTTCTTGAAGGTAAGCACATGGTCCTGTAATTCCAAACAGGTTGCATACTCATGAAAATGAGGAGAAAAATAAATGGCCAGCAAGGTGAATTTGTCAAGTAAGTTCAATCGTAAGAGGCATGAACAAAATGTATGTAGCAAAATATTCGTGCACATTACGTGTCAGCGCATGATTGTATGAAAGTTCACAGCATCAGTCAACATTTACACTACACAGTGTTCAATACCACAAGTGCATGTGCAATATCATATTACATGCACAGGTACATGTACATGTATGTACATGTACTGGTAAAATGCATGTCATTACACACAACACCACCAAGAATAAGCATAACAGCACTAACTTCAAATACATACTCCACATTAAAGAGCCTGTGTGTGATGTACATGTACATGTATGTACATGTACATAATAAATTTATACGAACTGTACACTGTAGATTTACAAGTTGATCTACATGCAAATGTATTTAATGAGAATTTCAGAATCCCTTGTTGTAGGTAAAGGAACATAGCGAGGACGGTTAGGATGTTATCTTTATTAGATGACAGTAAAGTCAGTTGGACATTTATACATTGGACATTCACATTGGTTTGTACATGTACAGCAAATGTCTGAATGTTTTTCTTGACAATGGACATTCCCATAGGTTTGTACATCGAATGTTCACTGTGTTGAGGAAAATCAGACATTATCAAACAATATCCAACTAACTTTACGGTCATCTTTATTAGTCAAAAATGATTACATACAACATATTAAATACAAGGTCGAGTTTCAAAAGTCGGGTTTGCTGTGCCACAAACCCAGACGTCTGAGCTGCACCGGTATACGAAGCGCTTCTAAATCACTTCTTGCTACTTGCGCTTTTACAACAGCCAATAAATACTTAACTGCACAAGCATGAAAGCTTGTCTTGAATGAAAGTGCCCTTGCTAAACACAGAGTGCATTACCATACTTAAGCAGCAGAACATGAATAGAAGCTGAGAATTTCCTTTTAGTAATACTGGCTTGGGGCTAGGGGAAGGCTCCAAAGGGCAAAGATTAAATCAGCGAGTTGTGTGGAAATCGAAAAGGACTTACATGTGTGTGTGTACATGTACAATGTACGTACATGTACATGGAAAATATGGCCGCCTGTACATCAAGCTGACTTGAGGAATTCATGAATACGTCAGACACAGTTGTCAAATAGGGTCTAGAAAGACTTTTGAAAGCAGGTGCTGTGATGTGGTGTGACACATCTGTGTGGTTGTGCAAGCAGTAAGCAAAACCTGCTCAAAATACGGTACACAGGGGATTGGTATTTCCAACTCTTAGATTCATACCTCATATAATTTGGTAAAAGCTTCAATATGTACAGACAACATTTCTTCTATGTATATAAACATGACTAAAAATAAATATTTTGTTATGCATGATCAACACCCGCTTAATAAGTTGAAACTAATAAATCCATGCTAGCATCCGCCAGTCGCTTTGATGTATAAATGTGCCCACAAACAGTCTCACCATTGTGCAGGCAAATCGTCTCAAAAGATTAATCTTACTTCTTACTTCCTTAAGTACACAGATCAAGCTCTTTCTTGGAAAGAACTCAAACGACCTTTTGTACATGTGCACCATGTACGAAATTCTACAGAGAGCTGCAAAATTTGCATGCTGTTAACACACAGGTTCACGGTTCCAAAATGTGGCATCTGGCTACTGCAAGCTTTCCATTTTCTTTGGTACCAAACCACAACTATACAGTATACAGCTGGATGTATGAAGTTCAACATTTTACAACTGTGTACTTGTTGGCTTGCATTTACACTTGCGCCATACCACAAAAACAGTTCAAATGAAAGTCTCAGTCACATCACACAATACATGTAGGTTCCTCATAAAGGAATACAGCTATGGTAGCTTAAACGAAGACTGAATCATTGTGTGCTAAGGCGTGATACTTTACTAGCCATCAGCATGGATTTCAGACTTTGGTTTCATGTACATGTACTTATATCCCGAAGACGAAAGTGTCCAGCATAACACGGTATCATTTGAATGTTGCTATAGGTATCGGTACATTAGATAGCCCCTTGAGGCCAAATTGGTTCCTGTGGTGAAACTTTGAAAACAAATAAAGACCATGACAAACAGGGGGCTGATGTAAGCACAGCCAAGAAACTCACTGAAGATATTCAATACTGGCATTCAATTTGACCAACAAAGAGAGGGCCGATGTAGGATGTGAATTGCAACTATGTCCTTGATGTCTTGGAGAATTTCTTGAGATGTGACACCTGTTTCCACAGCAACGACTTGAGGTTGTTGAGAACCAGGGAATGGTCCATGTTCATATTTTTGCTGCCAAACTTCAAATCCTCGCACTTGCTCAGGAGATCTTGGAGCTCTTGGAGGATTTCATACGGCGAATCGTCCAGGAGGTAAGCGCTTAGCATATGGCAGACGCGCTGGAGGTTTGGTTGCATCATCTCACCCGTGCATCTCCCCGTTAACTTGTCACACGGGGAGCGGCAGTTCTCCCCGAGCAAGCAGTCGCCGTCCCCAAAGCACGTCCGGTCCCGCAGGCTGCTCTGTACAGCCTGCTCGGTCAGCACGCCGTCCAATCGCAGGATCTTCACGTCGCTATACGCCGTGTACCCAATCCCCATTTCATTTACATGGCACATGTAAAGATTGCCCGCTGGCCCTTCCATGATTTCCTCAACAAATTCCAACAATCCAACAACAATATGAGCCCTGTCTGTCCAGGGCGGGGCAATCTTTCTTTGAAAAAACCTTTGGGCTGAATTTGGCAAAACAAAGTCGACAAATGGCGGGAACTCTGCACCATACAGCCTGAAGGCGTGAATGCCCTCCATGATGTACATGTTGCCGCAGAATCCCAGGAGGCGTGGAATGTAGTCGCTCTCACCGAGGACCATCATCATCAGAAACTCTTTGGCCTGAAGGAGGGACCAGATGGAGCGGGCCTCCGGCAGCGAGACCTTACCATCATTATTGCTGTCAGCGAGGTTGAGTATTCGGGACTGGACTCTGTCCAGGTTGATAGCGTCACCCAGATGGCGCTTAAGGTTGGCCGAGATCATGATGCGCAGGTCCTCCATGGAGCTACCAGAGGCAGGCTTGTTGAACCCTTCCCGCTGAGGATTCAAGAGCTGCTTGATGTACAGGGGTTCATCAATATTCTTTCTTTGTTTTGGTGGTTTCTTCAGTGTACCTGTGAATGCCTTAGAAAGGACAGAAAAAAAGAGTTATCGACTGCAAACTTGACATTCAACACTTGGAATTTACACAGGTATAAAAAAAAAATATGCATTTAGCCCTATTTTAATCCTCCAAGAACCTTCAAAATTGATCAAAGGGTTTGGGGGGATTTTCAACAATTGAAGAAACTTTTTGCGTCACATGGGGCTTTATGCCCTTAACTGCAATGAATGTACAGTGTACCATTGGTTTCTTGCACAACACATTTGAAAAGATTCTGGAACACTCCTCGCAAGAACTTTATGGCTTGGAAATTGCAGTTAATCCACATGCCATGCCAAATTCAACAAGATTCTGCATGGGTTACACAACACTTCAAGGATCAGGGCTAAATGAGATTTCAAAAGACACAAAACAACACACACAATAAGCCTTTTCACAAGAGCACCGATAACAGAGGTCGTACCCTATGCTATGAAATCATATCGATGTTACAATTACAGTGATATCGCGTCGTGTGAAGGTCGACCTCTGTCAAAAAATCACACGCTTATAGCACAGGTCTCGAGTGATGGTCGCGGCGATCGAGACCTTCTCCACAGCTTCGCATCAATGTGAAATCTGTGTAATGATCACCAAGATCGGTCACGTGAATGCAGAGCGCGCGATCGTTGCGAGGGTCCTTGGGCTGAATTTTATTATGCATGTGCACCTAGTTGATGACATCTTCAAAAATGGCGGCTCTCCACACAGAAATACTCCTTTGGCTACTCCAAATGGTGATGTGTAAAATGGAAAGTCAATGCATCCTTCTTCCATTCGGGCTGCTACATGTAAATCTAGCATGTACATGTAGGCTAGCAGAACGGAACAGAGTACGGACACGCAATAAACTACATGAACTATCAAATTCCGCAAAGAACGCATGGCCTGCAAATGCATAGCAGGAAAACTGCAGGTACCGCATGATTCTAACTTTAAGAACATAGCAAACTACTAGCAATGCAAATTAACCCTTGACCGCAACTGCAAATCATGGCCAAACGAGGAACGTCAGCTACGCGATAAACATTGCACCATCTGAAAGGCCGCGAAGAAATCTCACACGTCGTATGACACAGACGCTGTGGCACCGACTGTCGCAGATGTGCGGTTTCCGCGCTCGTGTGAAAAGGCCTAATGTAAATACTTTACATGTGTACAGTACAATTAATGTGCATTCATAAATACATGTACCTACTGGTAAGACAGTTTCCCCATTCAACGATGCGCAATGTAACTCACCGCGTATTAACGTTTGATAATGCCTGCGGAGATTTGATAATGCCTGCTACATAAAAAATGCTCTGGCACCTGGATACAAGGCAATTTAATCCATCCCTATTGTTCAAGAGTCTCAGGCAACATGGCATGAAGAACACGCCATGTGCAGGTCCATATGTGGAGATTATACTGAACAACTTGCACAGGGAATATACCATAGAATGGATGGGGGTGTTGGGAATAGGAAAGTAAAATTCTAGAACAAAATTGGTGGAAACTCGTCATGTATTGATTTCTTTTGACTATGGTATTTGAATAAGGTATTTCTGAATGGAATACATATGAATGCTGAAAATGCCCTCGCCTGCAGCTTAGGAATTTGTCATGTCCATTCTCCAAAGCCAGTAATTCCATTTTGTACATATGATTGATGCACATATGATTCATGAAGTATAATACCATTACTCAAGATATTTCAACATTTTGCATTAAACTGTATGCCAGAACAAAAAAGACCTCCCAACTGTAATCACTACATGTACATGAATGTAGAAACACACTGGACAAGACTGGACGGGGCTCACAGATCATTCAGACAACTGCTTGTATAAATTTCCACGTACATTTTCATTTTTGTGAATTTATCACCACTTTCTACTGGTTCCAGATCTGAAAGATGATGTTTTCCAACTGAGTCGTAAGAGGATTTTCTGTGCTGAAAATGTTGGAAACAAACTATCAAACAAAGCATACTATGGGAAAGCCAACTTGGTGCTAACATACATGTACATGAACATGTATTGTATTCATGTTCATGTATAAAAATAGACTGGACGGAAGAAATTGAGTGGAAAGAGATTTGAACCTGTAACTGAAGATTACCCATACCGAGGCTCTACCAACTTACTAGCAAATTTATAGGAGGAACTACATGTACATGTACATTGTATATGTACCACAACAGGGTTGGGTACCAGAATACCGGTACATGTATATGTACGTGTACATATACTGGCTGTTTCGAGTTACCGGTACAGTAAAACTAGCCTCCCGAGGTGATCCATGTAGTATTCAATTTACCTGAGGTGAAGCCAAGGGAATATACAAATGTAGAATGCTTCATGGATCACTGAGCGGGACTAGTTTTACTTCATCAGGAGACAAAGCAGTCAATTTGTGTTTTATGACACTCACCTACAGATTCTGCACAATGTAAGTTAAAAATCAATAATAAAGCACCAAAGAGCATAGCATCAGTGTTCCTTTTTGCAAATCCTGTGAGACATTAGAATGTGTGTATCGACAACTTACACTACGTAACATAAAGGTATTTAAAAGGGCACCTGACTATTTGCATCCTTGTTCTCTTAACCAACAACTTTGTAGCTAGTACGTACATGTACATGTACCGTAGCCTGGTTCAACGGGTGACAGATAAAGGTTTAAGCTACATGTACATGTATGAGCTGAAATACATGTACATTCCTCGGTACTATTTCTTAAGTTTTCGTTGCTACAGACATAGTTCTTTTTCAGAGCGGGGCTGCATGTGTATAGCCTTTTAGCATGTTTAGGAGTGGTGGTACAAAAACAGTACGACTAGCAAGCATCACATGACACACTTTCAGCCAATCAAAGCACAGAATATGTGGGTGAGATGTTAGAATACCTTATTTGGTAGTGCACAGTATGGTATTCTGGAGGTTCAAATCCTGCTCCAGTTAATTTATCTGTTGTTCTAGTTTCATACGGAGAGTTACAGGACACATGAACAGGCCCGTTTTCTAATTCTTAAAACAAGTAATATGGACTTTTGTGTTGAACTTGTTTAATTCAGATATGAAACATTTCTGTCGAGTATTTCCAGTAACATGAACATGTACGCATACAACAATACTGAGCTTTAGTTCAAAGAAATGTAACTGCAACTGTACATGTACCGGTAGGCCAAATTTACCAAACCCCTGGATATTCTCAGGACATTTTAGAAAGACACAAACAGTATGTTGGAAGTGATTCAAGATTATCGCTGGGCAAACTGTCACTCTTGGGAGCTGAGCGACAATTTTCGGGCAAAGTGATTTCCTTGTGAGAGCTCCAGCTGCCCTGATGAGTCACACCAAATGGGCGACCACACCGAAGTGTTTCCCTATTCCAATCTGCCACAAACCAAGTAAGTTGTCACCAACACCACAAACCAAGTGAATTGTCACCAACAGCACTCAACTGCACTTGCGTGCTATTTTGTCAAACCATATACAGTAATTTCGATTTCACAAAGTAGCACTCAAGTGTGCGCACGCACATCGTACACTGATGCATAATTTCTTAGCCACAGAACAGTTCTTTTAAGAAAACAGTCTGCGAAAAAAAAAAAGAAATTCATGGTGGCAGCCAAACTCCACTCCTCTAACCTTATCACGCAGAGGCAACATGTATGATTAGCCTCTTTCCCAATAAACATACAAGATACAAGGCACAATATGTGAAACGGAGATGTGAGATAGAGATACGAGATGCGATATACAAGGTTGAAAAACAGACCACCATAAAAAATGTTCCCTGCCTTTGCCTTGGGCATTATCAGCGTCCATTCTCCCAATCCAGTAAAGATTGGCCAAGCACATATTTATTCCCTTTACAGTGCCGGTATATTTCAATGACCTTTTCATGCCTTACAATGACAAGTGCAGTGCCTGTTTTCATAATGATCTCAGCGCTACCCCCACTTGGGACCCAAAACCCCAACCTTACCGAGGAAGTATGAATAAATGATCCACTGCATGCTTGCCAAAGCCCCTGCACAGCACTGATGATGGGGGAATAACCAAGGACTGTTAACATGGTTAATACGTATGTATGGTACATGCCTCTTGAAGGCACCCTGCTGTAAGTGAACTTATTCTATGGAGCTAATGACCTGTGCAACTAGCACCTCGGCATGCATGAAATCGACACGCCAAGCCTCAACACTCCTCCCCACGGGTTCTGCTGGGCATGGGCAATATGCACAACGGATCGCTGCATGGGCTGGGATCGGATATGACGCAAGTTAGCGCTATATCACAGAGGGCATCTATTATACCATGGTGCACTTTAGCCAAATCATACCTGGTGAAATGTATCCTGGGCTAGACAGCCATCGAGCGTCACTTTCGTCTGCTTGCAGAGTTCTTCGCACATGGAGCCAGCCACAACGCCTTTGTCGTAGTTATCACACTTTCACAGGGAAAAAGCAATCAAATCAAAATGGTGGTGTGAAAGCACATTTCAATTTAGCAGACATAAGCGCACGAAGACCATGGGCTTGGAAGAAAGTGGCAGTACTTTGTACACTTCCATCTTTCATATATCAATGTATTCAGACACAGTGAAATCTCTCAGCTCCTCACTTGATTATTTCCAAGCCTTTACATGCTTGACCTGCATGCATTCTGTCACCAAACTGTACAAGAATGGTATGAGCCAGTTGTTTCCATACTATCTTGATTTCATACATGGGTGGTTGTACACACCAAGACTTACATGTACATGTACAATGTAGCTTGCCCTGCACAAATAAACTTTCCAAAGGAATTGTTGGACATACAAATTTGGATTATTGATTTACCTCTGTGTTAACTTTTCATTAACAAAAAAAAGGGGCTATTTGCAAGCATTCATCACATGGCAATTGCGGGTATGTGTACAGGTACTTGTAATTTCTTTCCATCTTATCAATCGCTATTGCCTCCCCTGCCCCTGCCCCCCCCAGGCAATCACATGACTCCTTGCAATTACTCCAGGACCAATTTGGCCTAAGTAACCGACCTGCTGAGCCAGTTGCTTGGGGAAGCTTATCCCGGTGCAATGCGAAAGCATTGCGGCTTAGTTGAACATTGTGAAGGAAAGTTGACACTGTTGTACATGTACATGTATGTATATGGAATTTTTTTTTTAATGAACGTTGTAACAGAATGGCTCAAGTCAACAACAGTACCATAAGTTCTGTGAATGAATGGCCAGAAATGTGTTTGGATGTCCACGGCTTTCAATAATTCCAACTCATTTTGCACATTTAATCACTGCACGTCCTCCGTGCCTCTCGATCAGAGCATCTTAAGTCGAGATTGTTCACTTATCACCACAGACTCTACATGTACATACATGTACCTGTCTACATTGTAAACCTGTGACAACATGATGGATAAGCATTAGGCAAGTAATCAAATACATGTACACTGATAGTTCTGGAAATTCATTTACGACACATTCGTGTACATGGACTTTAACATTCAAGAGCAGGGGACGTGCTAATAATAATGCAACCATTCCACATATCGGTACATGTGCATAGTTCCCGAACAAGAAAAATCACAAAAAATAACACAGAAAAAACTCACTATACCGGTACATGTATGTACCGGTACATGTTGGATTCCTAAAATGATAGTTACAGCCTCTCAAAACATACCACATGACGGCAGTTTTCCTGCAGGATTATTGATCACCAGTACTTGAACCAAGACTAGGAGCTGGTATGACAGTGTGCTAAGGAAGATACATGTACTACACATAGGGGCACTTCCATGCACATGTGCATTGTCCAGTAAATGTACTTTAACATTTTTTCATAAGCCTGTTTGAGTTACCCCTATGGCGGACACAATAGGAGGGTGCTATTGGATTACACCTGTATACATGTACATGTACATGTACCCACTTCAAATACCGGTAGTGCACTCCTGTTGTGTCTGCCACATTTCAAAAGGCTAATGGCATTTGGCTCATTTTGCAGTCATCCAGGTGGAAACATTTTAATGCATACGCACTGGTACATGTACATACCTTTTTTTCATGGAAAAATACATGCATTAATAATTCAGAGTGCTTGTTCTTAAGTCCGCTAGAACAGTATCAATAATTGAAATGCTTTGGATTATATTACAGCTGAGGTTCTTATGAGTGGAATTGTGGAGTGCCGTGGCCTTGTGGTTAAGAGTACTGGATTCCCAGTTGGCGGATAAAGCGCAGGTTGCGGGTTCGAATCCAGCCCGGGGTCATGGTGCATGTGCCCTTGGACAAGGCACCTTGTCACTCATTGCCTATCTCCACCCAGGAGTAATTGGGTACCTGTGAGGGCAGCGATGGTTTTTGTGGTTGATTTAGCCACTTTGCACCGAATAGTGGCTGCATCAAGCTGTATACTCCCCAGGGAGCTGAGATGGTATTTGGAATGTTTCATGGGCCCAGTGAGCAGGGGTAATAATGATCTACAGTGCTTTGATCTGTATTTAAGGTGCTTTATGAATCACTATTATTGAGAGCCTCAGTTGGTAATGTGGAAGAAAGTACCCTGAATGTTTTTACAGACACATGGTGCGTGTAGAGTACGGGTACACACTGCCAAATTTTCTAGACAGCAGCTTATCCTATTAGCCTAAATATTGTTTTTCATGTACATACCAAGTATTTCAGTTGTACAAATCTAGGGAATTGATGTTCTTACGTCGTATCCTAATCTACTTTAGTTTGCTTCCTTCCCTCTAACACCTCTCTAAGTCCAGAGGCTTGAAGAAAAACTTCCAAACTTACAAACAGTGACAACTGATTTCACTCAAGCTCACTATGCCCTTGCCACAAAGTACATTCACTTGCTTACATGAACATGTAACGGACAATGACATATGCACCTTATACAAGCAATAAACCTGCATACATGTACATGTACTGTACATGTACCAGGGTATGTGTGTACTGGGTACAGCGTGAAAATTAATAAAAAATTACCAGTCTAGTTTTCACACTTTGAAGCTTTTGTGGCAAAAACTTGTAGAAAAGCCTGTGTAGCTCAGCAGGCTTTGAGTTGAAAATAAATTGTCAAGGTACAGTGTACATGTACATGTACTGGGGAGGGGGAACTCCCCAACAAATTTGAGCTGGTAACGTGTTTTGTGCACTCCAAGGCTGCATAATTAGAGTTAGCGAAAAATTTATATGTGACCTACATGTATCGCCACAAAATGAGTTGAAAGTTGGAAGTTTCAAAAATGGAGATATTGATATTTTTGAATTCAGCAGAAAGAGAGCTTTCCAATGGCATGTACATGTACATGTACATGGAACACTTAGGATAAAAGTTTAAGGTGACAGCGTGACATTATTCTGGCAACTTTGTGTCTTTATTTCTGACATTGTTTCAACATTTCTGACTGGGCACGAATAATGCTAGCATCCAAACTGCTGAGCAAATGACATTTTTATATACATGCACATATGTACAGTATCTGATCCAGTGAAAAAACTTTGAAAAAAATAGACGGATTACTCTTTCCAAATATTACAAAATCCTCCACTTCAACATTTAACTTTGAACCCTCACAATAGGAAGAGCAGAGTGCCAGGTCACATACATGTACATGTACAGTGTACATGTACATGTGTATACATGAATTTAAGTGGGGACAATGTGTCACCACATACCGTACAACAAAACATGCGCATGTGCAAATGTGCATTTAACTATGTATTGGGACCAAAGGGAAAGGATTGGCACACATGTTCCTTACCGGCACATCCTCCAACTTAAAAAAGTGAAACTGTATTAAAACTGTTTGGCTCAGAGAACACAAATGCCCATGGCCCTACTGGTACCCCCCCCTTCTCCGAGTGCAGCCCCACCCCCAGAGGCCCCCATATACATGTACATGTACATGTATGTATACAGCGCTGCATGTACATGTACGTGTACAATCAATTAAAACTAGTATGCCAAAGAAACTTGTCCAGTGCACTTTACTCCATAAATATTAAGTATTGTACACGTACATGTCCATGCTCATCTATTTTTCTAGAGAACAAAATGGACTTTTCCAGAGGAAAACCTTGACAGAGGCAGTGAATAATTAAGGAATTAGTGGCTTTCAAGTTTGAAGTTTTCATCATCTGTATATCATTTACAATGTAAGCCTTAAGGGCATAAAATATGTACCGTACAATGCACTAAGTAGAAAGGTGCCTCTGCTTCAAAATAAAGTACCCAGCAATATGCTCCGGTTGTACAAATGTGCATACATGTACAACGTAGCTTTAAATTCAATTAATGTGTACGGGCAAAACTGGAATAAGTAAGGAAACTGGCTTGATGCTTACAGAGCTGGATTGGGAGGGATGGATGAGGGAACAGACACATTTTATGCAAATATTCAGCAGTTTTTTAATGTGTGAAGTCCCCGCGACACCTACATGTACAGTGCATGTACATGTGGGATGGAGAAGCTCGACTACAACAGAGAGAAGTTAATTGAGTGTGAAACACACCTGCATTATTGATAGGCTGTGGTGTCGCGTTCTTCACGGGCCGATACGGCGTGTTGTCTGCGATGAGTAGTTGGATGCGCCCGTACACATTTTATAATTTACGGTGCCGGTCCAGTGAACCACGGATAGAGTGAAAAGCACTTTCTGCACTTACTGTACCATAGCACAGGATTGTTCAGAATGCTGTTTGAAATTTGCACAAATAAATTTACGCGTGGCAAAAGTTCTTGATATCACAGTTTGCTAAGCTATCAAAAGATGAATACCAGCTTCCATGGCTACTAGGCTCATGTACCGTACATGTACATGTACTGTACCGGTAACTACTCACAATCATGACAATTTGCTCACACTGTTGCAAGACTGAGATTATTGCTGAAGAATTAGATATACATGTAACTGGTAACCGCCAACCACTATCAAGGATCCATGAAAGCAATATACATGTAGGCAAGAGGAAAAGTGACATGCGATGTAGAAAAGGAGTCACAATAAACCATGGGGGTGAAGAAACTAACACTGGTAACCGATTCTTTGCTTCAACATTTTTCCTTGGGAAAGAGCACTATTATTGCAACAGACAAGCAAAAGAACTCTGGATTTTTCTTTGCAAGTTGGGAAAGACCACAAACTTCCCTAAGTCAACATTAGATCCAGAAGAATTCTGCTTGAATCAGTGAAGACTATTCTGAAAGCCAACAAAAACATATCCTGAATCAACACTGGCTTTATGACTTCATCTCTCAGACAAATAAACTGACGTACTGGCACATTGTACTGTGTAGCGCTTGGAAACGCAATGCTACACAGGATTTTTCACTGAATGATCAACTTTTCATCTCTATTCATCAGTTTCCAACATATAAATATTATAGAAGCTATTAAAGGAAAAAACACAAAATCACATTTTTGAAGAAATTTTGCCCTCTCCAAAATAAATGTAGAACAGGCCATTATGTGTTTTGGCATTGCGGGACTTATTACCCTTTTTTGCAGAACAGGTCACAATTTTTGTGCCTATTGGCAGTACAAGCTGAAAGATTTGTACACATACACATGTACACATAGCTACATGTACATGTTTGTAAACACTTTAACACATATACATGTACATGTACATGTACCGTACATGTATATACCGGTAATGTGCCAATTGGTGAAAACATTGAACTTCCACAGCTGGGATACATGTACCAATAAGTACTCCATGAATGCTGATTGTACATGTATTTAGTGATACTATAGTTTCCGGTGAAAGACATTATTGCTTGTGTTGCAAGAAACTGGAGAGCAGATGGTATCAAACACTGGCTCCAATTTTTACAAATGAAATGGACACCATTTTTCCATTTAAATGTTTCAACACGGGAATGCACCCATAAAGTCACTGGAGAGCAGATGATACATGTACACGTATAAAACACTGGCTTTGGAGTCATTAATGGAGTAATTTGCATGTAAACAGATTTTTGTCTTGCATGTAAATATAGGATACCTACCCGCATACTTTCCATCACCATTTTCCATTACCACTGCCTGTTTAAATATGGCAAGATATCATTACTCACTACAAATGTCCTGGCCTGTTCTCCACTGCACGTTTCAGGGTCGCCGTATCTGAAGTACATCACCCACAGCCCAATGAAACACAGCATCCACAACACAAGCAGCGTCTTGACCTTCACACTGTATCGCCCCTGAAAGGAAAAGATCAAAGCATGGACAATAAGATATGTACTAGTATGCATCTCAAGTCCTATCCAATCATTACCATCAACCAGCAAATCTTTCTGCACATTTTTTTCTCTCTTGATTTTTTGGTGCATACTTTTCCGGTGGAAAATTTGGTCAGAGGAATGAGACAATTAAT